GAGAAAACACGAGAACACTTGATCTGCACCAGAACTGATTCAGCGGACAGATTTTAGTCTGGGTCGATCATGTTGATTCTGCGTGAGTTTAACTTGTGCTGCGTAGTTTTGTCTGCTTGGGAACCAGTGCGCATCTTGCAATGTGATGATCTGTTGTACCTTCAAAGTTCTCCGGCCATTTTCGTGGGGAGAAAACTTGATCTGCACCAGAACTGATTCAGCGGACAGATTTTACGCTGGGTCGATCATGTTGATTCTGCGTGAGTTTGAATTGTGCTGCGTAGTCGTGTCTGCTTGGGAACCAGTGCACATCTTGCAATGTGATGATCGTGTTGTACCTTCAAAGTTCTCCGACCATTTTCGTGGGGAGAAAACCTGATCTGCACCAGAACTGATTCAGCGGACAGATTTTAGTCTGGGTCGATCATGTTGATTCTGCGTGAGTTTGAATTGTGCTGCGTAGTTTTGTCTGCTTGGGAACCAGTGCACATCTTGCAATGTGATGATCGTGTTGTACCTTCAAAGTTCTCCGACCATTTTCGTGGGGAGAAAACCTGATCTGCACCAGAACTGATTCAGCGGACAGATTTTGGTCTGGGTCGATCATGTTGATTCTGCGTGAGTTTGAATTGTGCTGCGTAGTTTTGTCTGCTTGGAAACCAGTGCACATCTTGCAATGTGATGATCGTGTTGTACCTTCAAAGTTCTCCGACCATTTTCGTGGGGAGAAAACCTGATCTGCACCAGAACTGATTCAGCGGACAGATTTTGGTCTGGGTCGATCATGTTGATTCTGCGTGAGTTTGAATTGTGCTGCGTAGTTTTGTCTGCTTGGGAACCAGTGCACATCTTGCAATGTGATGATCGTGTTGTACCTTCAAAGTTCTCCGACCATTTTCGTGGGGAGAAAACCTGATCTGCATCAGAACTGATGGCAATGCCTTGGGATCATGCCAAATTTGGATGAAGTGGGTCTTTCAGACTCTTGATTCAGAGCTTCCTTGTGCATTTGTGAGTGCTTGTGCGTTGTCAGTTGCAAAGAGATATCCGTCTAGGACCTAGGGAGGTCACATCAGCGGCGCCAGCCCATGAAGTCATCAGAGATTGAGCATGCAATGACTGAAGGCCACGATTGATCCCCATATCTGCAGCTTCAATATGGTGACAATGGCTCAAACAGATTGCGGTCCAGTTTTAGATGGTGAAATACCAAAACCATCCAAAACCACCGATTTTGTGGATCCATTGCTACCTCGAATTTTGAGACAGAAGCCCAAACTTTGGTAGCCCGAAAGTTCGTGGAGCAAGTTTTCAGAAGCACATGGAAACCAAATAAATCAACTTGAGGGTAATCTGACATAGGTATGGAACATGGCCATGGAAATAATAGGTAAATCATCTATACATGGGCCATGTTCGCCTGCAGCATTGGTCCCCTGGCAGGTTCCGATGTGGCTCTGAAGGCGGCCAAAGTGGCCTTGGCCGTGTGGGAGCAAAGGGGAAAGGGGCTGGGTTGGTTTGATGATGGCTTGGTTACTTGGTTGATCTTGGTTGATTCATCATTTTTTTAGATCCAAAAATAGGGCTTTGATGGGGTTTGAAATGTTTCCTGTAATGGTTTATATAACATATATATATAGATAACCATCAAAACAGGGGTTATACTCTTGGCATTTTTGGCAAGTTGAATGTGGAGAATGAGATTTGAAACCAGGGGATATGGTACCCTATTTTCAGACGAAAAAAGTATCATCCTATCCTGCTGAACATTGAACTGTTTGTTTTGAATGGTAACTAAGGTTGCCATGTTTAAGTAGTATGTACGGAGCAAATTTTGCAAAGCTGCTTCTGGACAAGGGTTACAGTGGGTCATGGTTGCAAATACTTTCTAGATCCCTTTCCCCCTAACGTTTCATACTCCCCCAGATACCTTGGTTTAGTATTGGATCTTTTCTTGGGGCCCACATGGTGGTTTCCAGAAATGGGGGTACCCCCAAATCATCCATTTTCATAGGATTTTCGATGAAATAACCATCCATTTAGAGTACTTCCATTTATGGAAACCTTGGGATGATGATCCTGGATGAAATCACTGAATTCTGAAAAACCCACGTGGCACCTGCTCAAGTCCAAATGACCCTGCAAACACATGCAGCAAACAGAGCCCAGTTTTTAGGGATTTCATCCCAGTTTTTGCGCACCCTTGTTTTGTGGCTTGTGGGGCCCCTGGGGGTCGTAAATCCCACTGCGGTTGATGTGTTTTCTCAGGTCTGTCACCAGTCCGAGGACAAGAGGGGGCAAGCAGCAGCTGGCCTCAGCAACTGAACTTCTTAGCTTTTAACAAAGGGTCAACCTTGGTTAGATACGAAGTAGTTCAATCTTTTGCTATGGTATAATCTAAATTCACCAGCTAAGCATTGGATTTTTGGCAGATTCACCATGGTCTCAGTGGATCGAAACGCTGGTCGTTCTTCATTTTTTGCTGGGATGAGGTCATGCTGAAGTCAACCTTCAGGACCGGGGATGGGAACTTCCACGAAAGCAAGGAAAGCACCCAAAAAACCAGGCAACTCTTGGGTGCGCAGTGGATTCCCATTTTTCACTGCAAGAGGATGGATACATCCCATTCAATATCCCCATCAAAAATATCCCATTAACTCAAGTCACCATGAAATCAAGTTACCATGAAATTATCCCATCAAACACACGTATTTAATGGTGATACTGAATTCAATGTCCCATCAATATACCCTTAACATCCCTTAACAACACATATGTTAACATATTTCATTGACTTGGACGTGAATTTTCCCATCAATCACCCTAAAATCACCATTATACCCATTATATCACCGTTAAATCATTGACTTAGTGGTAACCACAAAATCACAATGAAATCATCATTAAATCACCATGGAACCAGTATATCACCGTGAATTAAATCACCATGAACATCACAATTTTTCACGGCTCTTCCGGCAGCGAGCCAGGATTTTACTGGCACGCGAGAAGCCGGAGCGCGCCTTACAAGCTGCAGAGGAGGTGATGGGCTGTAGATGGGGAAAAACATGGAGACAACTATGGGAATATCATGGGAATATCATGGACACGCATTGGGAGACAATGGAAATATCATGGGAAGACTGAATGCCATGGGATATAAGTGAATATAATGGGAATAGGATGCAAAAGACTTGGGGACGAGAATCAGATGGGGAGGGTAGACTCATAACCAATAAGTGGTGGGCATGAAAATTATGTAGATTTGAAGTGTGGGCACAGGCGCATGTAGACTAATGTACATTATCTGTAGAGATTTCCAACAGCAGCAGCAGCAGCAGCAACAGCAACAGCAACAACAGCCACAACGACAACAACAACAACAACAGCAACCACAACCACAACCACAATCACAATCACGACCACAATCACAACCACAACCACCAACCACAACCACAACCACAACCACAAGAGCAGCCGCAACAGCAGCAACAGCAGCAACAGCAGCAACAGCGGCAGCAACAGCAACAACAGCAACAACAGCAACAACAACAGCAACAACAACAACAACAACAGCAACAGCAACAGCAACAGCAACAGCAACAGCAACAATAGCAACAACAGCAACAACAGCAAAGACAGCAACAACAGCAACAACAGCAACAACAGCAACAGCAACAACAACAACAACAACAACAACAACAACCACAACCACAACCACAAGCACAAGCACAACCACAACAACAAGAGCAGCCGCAACCGCAGCAACAGCAATCACAACCACAACCACAACAACAAGAGCAGCCGCAACAACAGCAACAACAGCAGCAACAACAGCAACAGCAGCAACAACAGCAACCACAACATAAACAACAACAACAGCAACAGCAGCAACAACAACAACAACAGCAACAACAGCAACAACAGCAACAACAACAGCAACAACAACAACAACAACAACAACAACAACAACAACAACAACAACAACAACAACAACAACAACAACCGCAACCGCAACCACAACCACAACCACAACCACAACAACAAGAGCAGCCGCAACAGCAGCAACAGCCGCAACAGCAGCAACAGCAGCAACAGCGGCAGCAACAGCAACAACAGCAACAACAGCAACAACAGCAACAACAGCAACAACAGCAACAACAGCATCAACAGCAACAACAGCAACAACAGCAACAACAGCAACGACAACAACAACAGGAACGACAACCACAACCACGACAACAAGAGCAGCCGCAACAGTAGCAACAGCAGCAACAGCAGCAACATCAGCAACAACAGCAGCAACAACAGCAACAGCAACAAGAGCAACAACAACAACAACAACAACAACAACAACAACAACCACAACCGCAATCACAACAGCAGCAACAGCAACAACAGCAACAACAACATCAACAACAACAACAGCATCAACAACAACAACAGCAACAACAGCAACGACAGCAACAACAGCAACAACAGCAACAACAGCAACAACAACACCGACGCTGACACTGAGAACGATAACGACAACGGCGACCAAAACTTAAACAAAAACCTAACCACAACCACCAGCGTCGTTGACGACGACAACGATAAGACACCAGGCAGCTCCCAGTGACCCCCAGCCACCTGCCAGGGACCCTGCAGGGACCTGCCCAGAGACTCCCAGAGACTTCCCTTTAGAAGTGCTTGGAAAGGCAAACAAACCCCATTCACACTGGAAATAATTTTGATGCTTCTCGGCCCTAGCCTGGTAGACCGAAGCCGTTTCAACTTTCTTGTGCGTTTTCTTGTGGTTCAAATTGTGGTGACTGTTACAGCAGTGGGAGGGGGAAGGATCAAAGGTTTGTCCAACAATTGGCGGATAGCGCACACCAAAATGGTATCATTATTGGTGAACATGATGATCAACCCGTAGGATTTTGGTGTACTCCATTTTCAACCTGGCAAGACCATACGATGCCCTCAAACTTTGTGTTATGCCTGGAAGGCCCTGAAAATGTACCGGGAACTGGAGGACCGGGGTCTACGCGATCGCATGGGCCTGGCAGTTGCCGGGGATTGATTTTCTAATTCTTGAGAAGTCGGATAGGGAAACCAGCAGGGGAAGTCGGTTGCTGAGTTCATTTTTAGCTATTTTTAGCTTTTTGTTTTTCCATATATTGGGAATAGTAACCCCAACTGATTAATATTTTTCAGAGGGGTAGGTATACCAGCAACCATTTAAACATCCTTAAACTATTTTCATGAGGAATTCACAAGACATGGTGCCCAGCTGGGTTTTTCGTGCCGTTCGATCCACAGGACCAGGAGGGTGAAGCAGAAATGACCATGGAGGCAGCCAAGGTGGGAGACCGCGAAAAAACCAAAAGGCCGAGGAGTAGATTTTAGGTGATTTGATCTGATTTTATGGCGCTTTGAATGGTGCTGCAATTTTTGCACCATGGGGAAATATCACCAACATTAACCAACCATGGTTGGGAATATCTGAAATAGCTTTGGGCAGTACTCAAAATGAACAGAAACTCAATTAAGTCCCAGCTTTGGGAGGAACATGAACCCTGTTTTGATACCACCAACATCGGGGTTTGTGAGCAAACAAGATATGGTGTTAAGAAACACAGTTTCGTCTTTAGCTCACAAACATCGCGGTTGAGCTCGAAACATGTGGGTTTAAACAGTCAGGGGGCATGATCAATTGAAGTATGACACAGCAGGAATTGGTTTCACCAACAAGTATCACCCCCCAAAAATTAGCGTGCCGAAGTGTGTGCGCGCAAACATGGTGACACAACCACATATATAACCAGAGGATAATGGTATTGACTGGTTGACGGCCATGGTTTTGGGGTGGTTGTGGAGGGCCTCCTAAGGTGGGAAAAAACATCTGAGTTCAGGTTTCAGATGGCCATAAAGATCTTCCAATCCATAAAAAAGTCAGAATCGTTTATCATCATCAATTTTGAATCGTAGCCCAAAAGATACTTAAAAGTAATTCGCCACCAGAAAAAGGATTTTCATCACTACTAATAGTCAATTTCTGTATTTGGAACATGAATTTTATTTTTCCATTCAGTTGGGAATGATAATCCCAACTGACTCATATTTTTTCAGAGGGGTAGGTCAACCACCAACCAGCCACTATAGTCCAATTATAGTTTCAATAAAATCCCATTATTACAGATATAATAACCATTATTAACTTGTGATATATAATAACCATTATTATAATAACCATGGATTTTAGGTTTCCATTTTTTTTTGAGCTTGCGACGACTATCGCCACGATCTCCGTGAGGTGCTTCTGCAGCGCGAGGAACATCGCCGCGCCCTAGGGGCCGCCAACTGTTGGAAGCCTCAGAGACCAAGAATCCATGGGAACATCGAAGTAAAAACGGAGCTTTAGCCTCTGGTAGTGACTAACAGTTTGCGAACTTGAAAATGGCACATAGAATTGTTGTTGATTTAGCTGCACAAACGGTGAGTTCCCGAAGTTATGTTAGTTGACATATATGACATAGCTATTGAAAATGGCACATAAAATTGTCGTTGATTTAGCCGTTCAAACGGTGAGTTTCCATAGTTATGTTAGTTAACATATATGACATAGCTATTGAAAATGGCACATAGAATTGTTGTTGATTTAGCTGTTCAAACGGTGAGTTTCCATAGTTATATTAGTTAACATAGATGACATAGCTATTGAAAATTGCACATAGAATTGTCGTTTATTTAGCCGTTCAAACGGTGAGTTTCCATAGTTATGTTAGTTGACATATATGACATATATAGCTGCTATTGAAAATGGCACAGAGAATTGTTGTTGATTTAGCCGTTCAAACGGTGAGTTTCCATAGTTATATTAGTTAGCATATATGACATAACTATTGAAAATGGCACATAGAATTGTTGTTGATTTAGCTGTTCAGAACGGTGAGTTTCCATAGTTATGTTAGTTGACATATATGACATAGCTATTGAAAGTGGCACATAGAATTGTTGTTGATTTAGCCGTTAAGAACGGTGAGTTTCCATAGTTATGTTAGTTAACGTAGATGACATAGCTATTGAAAATGGCACATCGAATTGTTGTTGATTTAGCTGTTAAGAACGGTGAGTTTCCATAGTTATGTTAGTTGACATATATGACATAGCTATTGAAAGTGGCACATAGAATTGGTGTTGATTTAGCCGTTAAGAACGGTGAGTTTCCATAGTTATGTAGAATTGTTGTTGATTTAGCTGTTAAGAACGGTGAGTTTCCATAGTTATAGTTATGTTAGTTGACATATATGACATAGCTATTGAAAATGGCACATAGAATTGTTGTTGATTTAGCCGTTCAAACGGTGAGTTTCCATAGTTATATTAGTCAACATAGATGACATAGCTATTGAAAATGGCACACAGAATTGTTGTTGATTTAGCCGTTAAGAACGGTGAGTTTCCATAGTTATGTTAGTTGACATATATGACATAGCTATTGAAAGTGGCATATAGAATTGTTGTTGATTTAGCCGTTAAGAACGGTGAGTTTCCATAGTTATGTTAGTTAACATATATGACATAGCTATTGAAAGTGGCACATAGAATTGGTGTTGATTTAGCCGTTAAGAACGGTGAGTTTCCATAGTAATGTGAAATTACCAGGGGGTAGATGGAGGCTTAGCTGGGTGAGGGTACCTCTGGTCAAATGGTTTTTTCGAACTATTGCATGGAGGTTTTTTGAGTTGGACAAACCCATCGAACTAAATGGATGTTGAGCTGGGATAATCCACATACCCTCTGGTCATTTAACAGTTTGTTATGATGTTATGGGGAATCCTTATTTTCATAGGTCAATCATCGAACTCTAGCTGGGCCATGACCAATTACTGCTAGGTGCTGCAGCTCTGTATCGGGAGGCACCAGACTGGGAAGGGGGTGGAGCTGAAAATGGGAGATTTATTTATTTTTTAAAATTTTAACTTGTAATAGGTCATTGACATATTGGGGCACTCTATTTTCAGGCCAAGCCGAGTGGTAAATTCTTTCCACAGAACATAAGATACAGAGGCAATTACTCATGAAAGGTCGGGGCTTTACCATCTGTATTTTTTTCATTGAACGACCATGTGTGCTAAAGGAAATCACCGCTCAACCCTTAAATTTTTGGGTCCAAAAAGATTAGATACTCGGAGTCCTAAACTCGTGATGTCAGTTTTTTTTGGGTACAGTAGCCATTTGGCCCAAAGTGTGATCTTTATTGTACATGTATACACATGTATACTATATGTTTATATATATATATATTATATATATACGTAGTATGCGTAAAATAAAGTGAATTTGATACATAGATCTTGAATACCCCCTAAAGTGTAATTTTATTGTATGTTACATATGTTTGTTTTTATATATACACTGTATGTCTGCACGAGCTGGACATGATGATACAATATAGTTTGATACAGTAGAATGTGATATAATATGATATGATATGATATCATGTAACTTATCAAATGCACTGCATTATGATATAATTCAATTCAATATGATATAATATCATTTGATACATTACTGTATGATAGGATATATGTACAATACATTTGAATATGATATATATATATATACATGTATATATCATATTATTCATATATATATATATATCATATATATCATATATTCATATATGTTCAATCCAATATCATACATATATAATTATATATATATACATATGTATCACAAATATCAATACATATCATATATGTATATATATATATATATTATGGATGGATGGATTTCATCCCAGGTCATCTCGGCCGGTAGGTGGGTGATCCCCGAGAGCTCTTTGCCTTGCAGCTGGCAGTGGATGTCCACGCGGCCCGAGGCGGACATTTTGAGGACACCCGGCCTGGTAAACCATAGGAAAACCATAGGAAAACCATAGGAAAATGGAGGTTTACCCGGCCTGGTAATGACTCACAGTTTGCTATTGAACATGGTTATAGTGGATTTAGTTCGTGGATTTACCCACTGAACATGGCCATTTATAGTTGATTTACACATTAATAGCATGGTGATTTTCCATAGTTTTTTGTATGTTTACCAGAGGGTATTTGTATATTGACAAAGGCCACTTATAGATGATTACCCTCTGGAAATTTAAAGAGGGTAATTACTAATTGCCCTGTCACAAAAAAAAAGTCAATAGGACATGTTCATTACCCTCTAGTAATTTCATATAGCTATTGAACACATCCATTTATAGTTGATTCGACTCTAGTAAAAAAGGTGATTTTCCATAGCAAACTGTTAGTTTACCAGAGAGTATATCATTATATGGGTTAATATCATTATATAGAGTACCTATCATATAGATGGTTTTTGATGATCTTTAGTATGATATTTATCATTATTTCATTATCTCTACTGTATTTACTACTATCATGATAATCATTAATTATTGTCATTTTTATTGATTGTTATTTATTGAGTATTATCATTATTATGATGATATTTCATGATATTTCCATGTTTTGAACATTCGTTTTCGTTGTAGGGGCGCTTCGGGGATTGGCAAAGCTTGGCCGCAGGCGACCACGCGATGGTGCTTGAAACTTCACAGGAGGCCGACCAGTTGACCAGTTGACGAACGGGACCAGTCGTCCAGGGGGATCCTGCCCCAATCCACCGGTTACAAAAAATGGGGCACTCAACTGCCGACTTTTTTTGTGAAATAAACCAGATTTTCGTGCCTCAAAAGGAAGCCACTGCCAACTTTCACGGTCAAGACCTCTTATTTTCGTGGTCAAATTGTCCCTTAAATCAGTCAATTGGAAGTGCAGTGTTCTTCAACCTTCAAACTTTGGAAACTTGATGGACGTTGGGATTTTTGTGGAGTTGGATGATTTAGAGAAACACCAACCATCGTTACTCTCATCGTGAGGAAAAAAACCGCCCATCATTTCGATGATTTTCCCATCTATAGACCTCCATTCATAGTATTTTATAGTTGATTTTCCCATTCAAACCTTCATTTAGAAATGATTTTCCGATATTTTTCGATGGGATTTCCCGGCCTGCCAAGCTCCGAAGTCAGGTGCTAGAGAAGTGCCGTTCGCAACAGGATCCGGCGTCAGGGGCCGAGAGCGCACGAAGAAACGAAGCGGTAGCTGACCTGAAATCCCTCAGATGATCATTTAGAAAAGAAATGATACATAAGTTAGACATACACAAGCTGAGACAATCTGTTTCAGGATGTTTTTTTTAATCGTCCCAGGTGCGAAGCAGCTTTGTTACAACAGATTTGCCAGGTTCTAGGGCCCTTGCGTGGAAGTGGTGGAAGTGGTGGAAGTGGGGAACGGGATGGGAAGCACGAAGAGCTATGGAAGGGCCACCATTTTCAGCAGGTAAATCATGTTAAATCGTCTATAAATGGATCATGGATTGGCGATGTGAAATTACCATAGGGTAGATGATAAATGAACTCAAAGCAAGAAGAGGCCAGATCTACTTCTACCACTGGGGGGTTTACCGCGTTACTATCAACTGAGAACGGGATGAGTTCGTGGAACATGATAATTCAACACTGTAAGATGGAACGCACTCATCATTTCTGGAATTCTAGAAAACTTCACTGGTGATGTCCTTTCTCAATGCAAGGTGGCTATCGGCTGCCGCTTTCGATGGGGCATAGTGACCTGTGAAAGGCATACATCATTCCGAACACTAAACTGGAAGGTCACTGGATGCCTTCGCGTATGTAGAGAGCCTGGATTTATATAACAAGAACCTTTCAGGCTTGATAATTTTGCGGTTTCACCATTCATCTGCTTGCAATACGAAATCGACCCATTCCCGCTTCAATGATGAGTCTGTCCAAATATTTCCGGGTAAAACTTGCTGAATTGACCGACCAGGTGTATCTGGAGCAAGGTGGAAAAGAGAACGCTGAGGCCGTATTTGCCATGACCACTGTTGCGGGAACTCAAACTCTGTGGCAGTTTCCTACGATTAACTGGATGGGTTTTCGAACAGTGACGGCCCCCCTACCACTTTAAGCCGCAGTAATGTGCCCCTCCCATTCGCAAGCGGGGATCTAAATGCCCCAGATCATGCGGGAAGCACAATGATAAACCATCTCCATTCCCAATGACCTACGAGAAATGGATGACTTTACAAGTTGGATGGGTTGAATAAACTCAGTTAAAACTTGGAAGGCCCAGGTTTGGCCCCCGTTGCCCCCAAATTTTGTGAGATTTAAACCTCCTGGACCACTGGCATGTTGGTGGTTCATAAAAGCCACCCAAGAAACAGCAGCATCGACTCCAAACACGAGACTTTTTTCACCTACAGCGGGAGAGAGTCGTGGGAGACACGCAGTGAAGAGACGGCGAATCATGGTGAAACAGGATCATCTTTTTACTGAGAACAAGGGATGGAAAGGGGGACAAGTGAGAAACAAGTGGGGGACAAGTGGGCAACAAGTTGGAGACAGGTGGGAAACAAGGATAAAGCACCGAGAATCCGAGAATCATGGTGGAAACAGGATCCCGGATTAAGAATTTTTCCGAGCCCATCAGGAGGACAATTTTCTCAAAACAGCCAGAATGTGACATGACACATTCAAAGAAAATTGTGGTGTCCATGGGTTTAGCATCTGAACCCCGCTGTGTTTTTTTAAAGATGCACCTGCAAACCGAGCCGAGATTAGCACAGATCGGTGAAGGGTCAGGACGCCCCAATTGGGCTGGGTAGCTGATTGAGAACTTGTATTGATTGGGAACATCCCATATATATATACTATATGTATATATATATATATATGTATGTATTGTGTATATTTGTATATATTTATGTATATATATATAATTATATATATATGTATATATTTTTGTATATTATATATAATATAATAAAACAAAACATAATATAGTATAGTATAATACAATATAATATCATATGATATAATATAGTACAATATAATATGATACAATATACAACCGTATATATATAGGTATATATACACGGCGTATATACAAACATGTTTTTTTGACCACTTACTAACTGGGATGCGCGTCCAAGTATTATATGGGTTTTCATGTGCTTTTACCCTGTTTGATAGCCACAGATGATCAATTATCCGGTAGCTCTGGAGTGCAAAAGGAACTTTCCCAGAAAAGGGGGTCACAAATGCATATGATTCCGCAGCGAGATGCATGTATTTTGGGCGCTTCATGACAGATTTTTGGTGAACATATCCTTTGCAATGTTACTGGGACAGCCCTTTTCTAAGTGGTTGGATTGAACAAACTTTTTTGGATGCACCTCTCTCTTTCTTTTCCCCTCCGAAAACATTTTGCGGGATTTGAACTTTACACGCGCAGGGGTTTCAGTTGTTCTTCTAACATCAACATATTGCAACTAGGCATTCTGCAATTCTTCATGACAGCAACACGCAACAGATCACCGTGAGGCACGTCAACCAGCAGTCACATGCATTTTCCTGGGGTCCTGCAGCCACGCAATTCCACACATTTTTACACCCCCATGTTCACCCAGGAGTTTTCAAAGGGAAAACTTGCATGTTCCCAAATCATATATTGTGCTCGCGAGGTTCTTTCGGAACCCCAGACTGCCAAATTGATTGCAGGAACTATACCCGTGACATGCGCTGTGACAAGCATTCTTGTTTGGACATTGGGGATCAACGTGCATTTTGTCACATGGTTTTTGCTATAGCTACCCTTTGCCTGGTTTGCATGTCATAAGTTTTTCCCACCTGAGCCTCTCGGGGACGGTTGGGTGGTTGGGAACCCTACGTTGGAATGGCTCTAACCATGGTAGTCGGGTTAATGATATACATTGCCACCTGCAGGGTTTCCAGTGTAGGTGTTGAAAGCAAGGGTTATGTGGTTTGAACATGTTTGAACTATATATGGACATGTACGTGAGCATGCGCGCGAACGACGAAGTCGCTCAAAACACCACCGCTGAAACGGGTCCCACGTTTTTCCGCACTCTGGAGTACAAGATGCACAAGGTATTTTGGTTCAAAAACATGTTGGCCGTGGCAACGCGGAGCAAGAAATCACCTGATTGCTGGTGAGGGCTGCGGAGGCCCCAAATCATTCTTTTGGGTGAAACAAAAGTTGGCGGCAGCTCAGGCTGAGAGCGCTTCTTTCGATAGCGTTGCGACACCTAAGCGCGCTGACCAAGTTTCGCCCTGAAATCATCCCCGTTGGGACACATCGGGCCAGTTTTTCTTGGCGCGCTGCAAAACTTTCGCGAGCGATGCAGTGGCGGGGCTCCGTGTGCCCATGAACGCGACGCTCTAGCTTGCATCGTTGCCAGTTGCCTTGGTTTGCCCTCGTGTAACTTTCAGTTGCCGCGCAGGTGGTGGCACGCACTGCCAAGCAAGCGCACGTCTTGGCCAGAGAAGTCCGCTTTCCCAGTGTGCAGCCCCTGCTAGCTTCATGAGACTCCAAGCCACAGCTGCTGGGGCTGCAGCTGTGACCAGGCTGGTGATCAACACAGAGAGACTTGTGCCCTTGCCGCGCTGGCCTGGTGCCCTGGACCCCCCCATTCCGTTTGGCTAATGGAAGGGTTTGGTTGCACATGTTGCGCATTTTTTCGGTTTGGAGCCCAAGAGTATGGAGGTCTTGAGTGGACATATGCTAGTTTTGTGGTTCAACCATCTTTTTGTCAAAACTCAATATTTGAATTTTGAAAGGGTTGCGCAGCTGCCGTGGCCATCCAGCCTACGCATTCGAACGTTTTGCAAATTGAAGCGTTTGCGCATACACACCATAGATGTATGGATAAAAGGCGCGTAAGGACCACATTCATGTCGGAATGGCCATTGTCTCAAACTGATTCACGATTCACATTTTCCAAACGGAATTTTCGCCTCATTCAACGCCTCAGTTTGCATGGTGGCCAAGGCCAGAGCACATCTGGCAGCCTCCCGAAACCAGGAGGCAGCTGCAGGGCTTTGAGACGGGTGCCTTGTAAATATGAAGCGGTCTGTGAAGTTTTATTGATTGCCAGCAGGATGATTTTGGTGAATCTTTGGGCCACTGAACATGTGCATGAGCAACGCAGGCCCAATATTGTCAAAAACAATGCATTCAAGAACCATGCATTCAGTTGTTGCATTGCAGTCAGTGACCTTCAAAGAGATAAACAAGACGGTACAAAAAAACCACAATGATGATTGTATAGAAAATAGGAGCACGTTTCCAGTTTGGCGGTTGTGTTCGGAAATAGGGGCATGATGGGACATGCGCTATTGTTTCCTTTACCTATACAACATGCGTAGATGGGGGTTCCATAGTCTTGGGAGATTGATTTCTGGACGGTACTAGACAATCAACCGCCAGTATTGACATGTGTATTACCTTTTGTGTTGTGTATGACATGCAAAACATGTTCCCATCTATCTCCATTCAATCATATCTCATACCAACATGCACCACATAAAATCCACATGAAATCAAATGAAAACCATAGATTTATCTTATTCATACCGACTTTGCACCGACAAAAAGAACCATGTTTCTTTACCCAGGGCCCAGGTCCTCCATGTTTTGTCGGCAGGCTGTGGAAGTGGCGAAAGAAGCCGTGAGATGTGCCACTTGGAACCTAAAAATGCGATGGTTCATCATGGTTTGCCATGACATTCCCCGTTAGAAACGCACTATCTTAGGTCTTAGGTTTTTTCTTGGTGCGTATAACGATAGAACATCAAATCCTACCCGCACTAACACAGTAATATATTACTTGTGGATTTTTTTGGGTTACTATATTCAATTTCTATCTGAAGTGCCTGGGAATTGATGGAACCGAGGCCCATGAGAGCGGAGACCGACCAAGCCAAATTGTAGCCTTGCAGGTGCCAATGCCATGGGTTGGTTCAGAAAAATCTGGAGAAATGGTGATCTAAGTCTGATTTAAGAATCAAAGATTGTTGTTTCATCGTCAAACATGGTGACTTTACATGATTTCACGACAAAAAATGGTGATTGAACCATCCAACATGGTACAGTAATTTAAGCAACAAACATGGTGGATTTATGGGGATCTAATGGGATATCATGGGAATAAGTCCGGATTTGATCATGACTTTACTGCGACGTCACCGGAATGATGGTGAAAAGGGGCTATCATCCGACGTTTTCATCGTGAATTGCTGGGATGATTTGCCAGGCATTCAGGATCATTCAGGAGATTCACCCATATGGATCCACATGGGAATGAACATCCGCAGAATTCCGCAGATATTTTTGAGTTTGTTTAGGTGAACAGAAGGGCACCCGGGTGTTCGCAGGGTTGGCTTACCAGGGTTTTGGCCCATCACCTCAAGAAGTTGTTGTCACAAAAAAACTGTCAGAAACTCAGGCTATGATACGAACAAAGATTACTGTAACATACTGTAACCATTTAGATGAATGATACAGTAACGACCTCACTGCGATGTCGCCTGGAAGGCGACAAAATTTTGTGTGTATCCTGATACCAAAATTGAGAACATGGTCTCATCCGACCGTATACCATCTGCTTATTCAACATAGCCATGGAAAATGGCCCAGAGAAATAGATGGTTTACCTATTAAAAATGGTGATTTACCATGGCTATGTAAGTCATAACCAGATGGTAGATCCGTATGGGGAGATCTTTCTTTCTCGTATCCCTGATGGTCCGACGCGTGACAAAAATGAGTCGACCAGGCTTTTGGAGACGTGTCGGTGAAATTGGGTGCGGAAACTGAGGGCGGTGGAAGACATATGGGATCGGCCCCAAGGGCGACTTTCTATGGTGATGTCACCTGTTTGTTTCATCAATCATGGGAAAACTGAACACTGTGGGCCACGTAGGCCGCGAGAATAACATGAACACTTGACCTTTTTGTTTTGTGGATCAAATCTGGAACAAAAATTACGAACCCCTGGCCCACACACTGTGGCCATTCACATCCATTCAGTAATTGTGAACCATGTATGAACCGTTCAAAGTCGAGAAGTTGTGACTCACTTGAGTATCTGCGACTGTATGATTCATATAATACAACAAATTGATACAAATGATTTAAGATCACATAGAAGATTATTATTATTATATATCATTATTATCATTATCGTTATTATTATTATTATTATTATATATCATTATTATCATTATCGTTATTATTATTATTATATATCATTATTATCATTATCGTTATTATTATTATTATTATCATCATTATTATTGTTATTATTTTTTTAATGTACACAGATGATCCATGATTCAGACTCAACAAATGATCTACCTGTAGGATACCAGGCTTAGACGCGAGTCGCCATCCGCAGGTCACCCTTTCGACGCCATTGAAGCTGCGAAAGAGGCAATGGTTAGGTGCCCTATCAACGTGTCTGAAGATAGGGATGTGAGACCATGAGCACGGAGATGCTTGTTGCATCCCACTTACTAAGTAGGTTATAACCCTAGTTATAAATGGATTAACCCTACTTATTTCACTTCTAACCTTGGATATCACCTACTTAGTAAGTGGGATGAGCCACCAAGTACAATGGGGATGTGGCAAACTAACCCACTGCCGTTGTTTAACGGCAAATTGGGATGATTTGAATCCAACCTATTTCTAGTAATATTGGTGACGGCGTATTATTGCATTTACATCCTCAACATTGCCAGTGGTAAAAGGAAAATGACGAACCAATGGACTTTTTTGCACCATTCTTGGAAAAACAAAAGGATTGTACCCAGCTAAAGCTTGGAAAAAATGGTGCTGCAAAATGACTTAAACCACAGAATTCGGGTGTGTTTAGTGTTGAAGCATCCAGCTCGACTCGGGGAGTCCAATCGTCGATGGTGTCCAGCTTCTTGGCATCTGAGGACTATGCACGCTTTGAAGGGCTGGTGGTACAAGAAGCGGTTGGGGCCCCTTTCAGAGCAACGTGCGTTGATGGTGACACATGTTTTTGAATGGTTGGTGGTTTCGAAGATTTTACCTACCTGCTTATATCTATATCCATATCTATATATAGTTATGTCATACCTTTTATTTATCACACACACATATATATAATATAATATATTATATATAACATAATATATATATAATATAAACAATATATATAATATAATATAATATAATATATATATATAACATATAATATATATATAGTATATACATATATATATTATGTACATTATATACATTCTTCTATTCCTAGCTGTGGAAAGCTTTGGATTTTTTGTTGCAGACCTTGTCGACCCGGCCACGGCTTCCACATGCGAAAATTAGACCCACCATGCAGGGTACATGTTGAAATCACCATCCAGATGAATATCCACACGCACATCATCGTATATATATATATATATATATGGCCTTAATTCAGGTTAGTGAATTATTATAATTTACAGTACCCAGATGTATGTATATATATATATATGTATTCACATGTATATATATATATATGAATCTATAGTGACGTTAATGTAATATACGTATCTACACCGACACACTCTCTCTCTCTCTATATATATATATACACAAGTAAGATTAGTACTATATGTGTATACATATCATATACACATATGATGATATGTGTATTTCAATATACAGACTATCTGCATTTCTCTCAATTTGATCTATGTATATATTATAGATATATATGAATTAGTACATACTAGATATAGATATATACTATCTATATTATATATATAATACGTTGGAGTTATGGGAATCTCTCCATGATACCCACCATGGTGAATATCTTCCAGGCTGCCCTCGGCACCCTGGTGGATGCACGCTTGGCAAATGCCTGGGGAACTCGGTCATTACGCGGAGGGAAACACAACCAGCGACAGTCGGTCAGAGGTAAATGATGTCTATGTGTATCTTATACATGTAGAAATAAATGTAGAATTACACTATTACATGTAGAATTACATACATATGTATATATATATGTATATATATATACACCCTATATATATGCATACACACACACACGCATCATCAATAAAATTGCTGATGCACAATTTTCAAGGGAGCGTGTTTTTCTAATGTAAACGTAGAATATACTGTTTACTAAAAGATACTGTGATATGATATATCATATATAGCAAGAGAACACATACATGGATATATCTATACCTATGGGTACTCTAGCCTTTGGATGCCTTTGGCAGTGGGATTTTCTATTGCCTAGTTTGATTACAAGAGATGTCCAAAGATGAGAGACTCGCCCCATGAGGTCACACTCTGTGTTGTTGGTGTGCAATATTCTTTTGTTTTCCACCACTGTTGGCATCGAAAAAACGATGGTTTTTGGATGCTTCGCCCACCGACCTTTGTGGCGCTGGAAGCCACTGAAGGGGAAACATCCCCATGGCGAGGCCGAACCCAGCGAAGCCTTGCGTGCGGCGAAGGAGGCCAGTTCTGATGGGGATGGATCGATGTTTTCGCTGCGATGGAGATGGGGAATGATGGAGTGTTTTTTGCTCCATCTCCTCAACATCTATCACAATAAATGCCTGATTCTGAGCCGGGAAATCATTGACTGCTGGGAATGGTATTCCGATCCTGCTCTCATTTTTGGAGTGCTCAAAAACATGACCAGATTCTTATCAGAAGGCTCAGTTTGAGGCTCCACTGACTTAGCTACCGGTGATTCCTGGCAGCTGAGGGGGCAAAAGAAAGGTTGCTGGATGTTGTTCTGGCGATTTCGGTAATGGCTGATTTGCACAGAACTTCACTAGAAGGTACTTACTTACGTTATACATGTAGCTGTAAAAAGTAAATGTGCGCAGAATCACATAATCACACAAATTCCCGGATTTGGGTTGGGCTTGCCTCCCTTGTTCCGGTATGACAACGGAAGATCAGCCTCCCCCGAATGATGCTTGACCAGTTCTGCAGGCGCATGATCGAGCAAAGAGGCTGGTTCTTGGAGAGACCTGAATCAGGTTCTGATATCTCCCCAGGCAGTCATCAGGTTCTATCCCGTTCTGTGATCTTCTATCTATTTTCATTGGTTCCAACAGTTTTGCCGGATTCTGTTTTCATATCTTATGGCTTGTATCCCGATTGCATTGTGTCATCTATGCCATTGTTTTGGTGCTATGATAGCTAATTGTAGCCTCCGTGGCAATGACAATTGCCAAATACATGATCATGTGATATCAACTATGATGAAACAAAAAAAATGGTATCAAAATTGGCGTCAACATTCAAATCTTATGATACCATTGCGTTGGGATCATGAATATCATGCGCATATCATGCACATATCACATACATATCATACATATATCTATCATACATATATCATGCTCAGATATCATATATCATGCAGATATCATTTATCATACATTATATCATACATCACATATCATACATATATCATACATATATCATACATATATCATGCAGATATCATGCAGATATCATATATCATACATATATCATACATATATCATACATATATCATACATATATCATAAACATATCATACATATATCATACATATATCATACATATATCATACATATATCATACATATATCACATATCATACATATATCATGGGTGTATCATGTATATGACAATTGATTAAGCTTACATTGAATCATGGCTATCTTTTTGCCAATGACTTCAAGACATCGAAGCATCCGCGCCAGGTTGGGCAACTTGAGGGCCGAGGCCGCGGCCCTTTCTGCTGTGGCCAAGGCCGCCGGTGAAACTTAAACTGAGCGCTGCAATGGTTAACGGTGGTTTTTTGGGTGGTTACCATCTGGTGATTTAACTTAGCGAACTGGAAAATCTATTATAAATGAAGGTTTTAATGGGGAAATCATCTGTAAATGGGCCATTTTCCATAGCTATGTTAAATTACCAGAGGGTAAGGGTGTTTTTTTTCACAACAGCTATGTGCAATGGTCTGAGTCAAACGTTCAAGACTTGGGTGAGTTGCTCACAAAAAGGGGGATGGTCATCAAACCATTTTCATATGGACTTAGAATGATTTGTATACCCATTATGTTTGGATTTCCATTCTGGGATCGATGTTTGTACCACATTCATCCCATTTTTGACCAGAAGTGGGGGTTGAGCAATTTTTCATGTTTCACTGATGTTTTTTTCTATATTACCATAGCATCCTCAACAAATGTGTTTGAGCGCCGAACCATCAAGTTGTAAGCGCCAGGTATGCCTTCACATCAAGGCACCGGCTGAAGCGATCCAGGTGCAGCGGGCTTTCGAAAGTAAAAGTGTCTAATGACTTGGATGATTTGGGGGGAGCATCATTTCAAGAAACCCTCTCATATGTATGTATATATGTGTATATCATTGTATATCACTAGAAATGATGATATTATTAGGGGCAACTTTGGGCAGCTATCCCAAACTTGCCTTAATTCAGATGACGGTCATCCCGTATTGGATTCAAACAGAATATACCCCGTTGTAAAGAATTTTTCATGATGGTGGGATGACCATATTCCATATATCACTTTTGACCATTGTATATATATATATATGTATATCTATATCTATATATGTATAGGGTGAAGGCTGGGGGTTCCCCGGAACCCAATTGCATGTTATTTGTATGGATATGGAAAATGTTGATTTTACACTGTGTTTTACACTGTTTTATGCTCTTCTCTCAAATTGTTCGATCAGTAAAAGTTGCAATGTCGGCGCGGATAAACTTGACGTTTGTCCGCGCAGAAAAATGATAAATTTACATCTTCCATGGATGGCCAAACACGTGTGCAACACCGAAACCATTGGAATTGCGGTTTCATGCATTTTTGGTTGTTTTGTTGACAACTAGAAAATGTCATAATTCACTGGAGAACCATGGACGAAATGAACATCACACCTTTTTCATTTTCACGTCCACAATGGTTTTTTGAAGCAGTTGCTTGGAGCGAGAGCACCATTGGTCTTCTCACGGTGCAGTCGCAGTAACAACAGCTTCAACGAGGCTACATCCTCAAGTTTTCAACAACTCTCAATCCAACGCGCTCCACATGACGTTATTACACCACACCCTCCCCCCACCCCCCCATCTCTATACAATAACGACGTTTATAGTACATGACAAGACTGAGGGTTCCTGGAAGTTCTGGGGAACCCCCAGCCTTGACCCTATGTATATATGTATATGTATGTGTATATATATATATATATGTGTATATATATTTATATGTGTATATATATATATATTTATATGTATGTATATATATATATATATTGTAAACCCCTGAGATACACCTCAAAGCCTCTTGTATCATGTCCTTCAAGACACACATACATATATATATATAAGACACACACACACATAGATAATATAAACCCTGTTTGTCATCTTGGTATATCTGAAAGCTTGCAATATGTAGAGAATGACAATAATCCCAAAACCTCAAAACGAAAAACCAAAAAACCAAAACTTTGAAGAGACTTTTTGGTTTAGCCTCAAAAGATGTGTTTTTTTTTTTCCTTGTGTTTTTTTTGTTTTTTGTTTGGTTTTGAAATGCAAAAAACTTTTTTTTTGGTTTTTGGTGATTTTCTCCAACCATAAACCTTGTGCATTTCAAAATCAAAAAAAACCAAAAAAACACAAGGAAAACCAAAAACTTTTGAGGCTAAACCAAAAAGTCTCTTCAAAGTTTCGTGTTTTTTGTTTTTTTGGTCTTGAGGTTTTGGGGTTATTGTCATTCTCTACATATTACAAGCTTTCAAAAAAATTGCGATTTTTTATAGAAAATTCCTTTCAGGAACGTGACCATAGTAAACAATATGTTTGCAAGTTGCAAGAATTTTGGTATGTTGATTTAATATTATAAATGTAAGTGTAAATTTTATAGTAGATATATATATATATGGTTCTTTACTATTTTAATTATATAAGATTTGTAATATGCAGTTGATTTGTAATAGAGCTTACATTATATATAATAAACATATCTAACACAATAGTAATTTTACTCAATTTTTTAAATGTTGATTAGTGAATATCTTAATTTTAGTTAGTGTTCATTTTACAAAAAATAGTATATGCAATTTTTTTAAAATGATAATATAATATTGCTGTAATTACAAAGTAAAGGCGCATTTGCTTAATGTATATATTCTTTTATATTATTTTATTAGCATACTTATGTATTTATTTGCACATAAATAAACTTCTACATGTTATCAATACTATTTTACTAAAAGAAATAGTGGTTATAATATTATATAAATACATTAGTTTATACATACAATGTTTTCATGTCTAATAATATAAAATCTAATAGTGATAGCATATCTAACAGTAACAGCATTAATAAAGCAATGTTTCATTGTTATGGGTACTGTAATGCTAAATCATATGATATGAAAAGCTTAGAGCAGTATTTTCAGCAATATAATATAGGAACACGCAAGATAGAAGATTCTGTATATTTTCTCAACAATATGATACTGAAACAGTAGACGTATTTTATTGGAAATTTGGATCTGTAGTGATATGGGGAGGTACCCATAATCAAAGAACATATTTTTTATACCTTTTTTTGAAATATAAAACGCAGGTTATCTTCTTCTCAAGACAATATTTTATATGAACGTGAGATGATGAGATGTTTGTACTCATCAGATAATTCAACTATTTCTATAGACGAAGAAAACGACTTCATAATTATTAATCAAATTAACATTTTTACTAAACTTGCTATATCTTACGCTTTAGCTCAATCTGTTAAACTAAGCTCTTGAGAAATTTCTGTGGAAAGGTTACTAGAAAACACTCAACCAATACATGAAGAGCTTGCAAGAAAAGGTGCAATTTCTTTATCTAAAAAAAAGATTTCAATTAAAATATGGATTTTATTTCAAGAGAACTATTCTATTGATGTGCATAGTGAGGTATTAGATATACCAGAGGTTTTTTGGAAATGCCTAACTACGAGCCAATACATTCGTTAACAGCAAAGTTGCAAGATATGCAATCTAGGCAAAATATACTTAATAAGAGACTAATGATAGTAGAAAAATTATATAGTATACTTAGCGATGAGCTTAATGTAAAACTTTCCAGTAAACTTGAAACAATAATAATAGTTCTAATAGCAATAGAGGTGATACTAGGTTTAACAACTCAGTTGCAACACTTATTTTTTTTTTTTAAATACTTATATAGCTATTAAGATTAGGTAACTAAATATGTTTGCTATATGTTTTCTGTAATTGATACTACTTAAAGAAAATTTTTCTTGTCTTACTAATTATGTATTATCATTTTAATTAGTGGTATGCACAGGCATTTTTTTTGGCATTAGGAGAATAGAGAAGTATTATTTTTAGGTATTTCTTTTATTTGCTTATCTGTGAACTATTGTCATTTTTTCTTAAAGTAAAAAATAGGTGTTATTCTAATTAATTGTTTTTTATCCAAAGTAGTAGTTTCACCAGATTTAGTTCCCTGTATACCTAAACTGATTCTACTTTTTTCATTATCTAAACCAATCACATTACTTTTTACTGTAACATGTTTATTTTGCTTATATTGATTAGCAATATATATCTTGTAAAACTTGCTTAGATTCTACATCAGATTCATGAATAAGCCCTACACCATCTTTATCTAAATCTCAAAAAACACCAAACTTTGTAAATATACATGCTCAAACTCATTGCAAACAGCTTCAAAAGTGGATCTCGGGGGGTGGGCTAGCATATATATATACACACATATTCATATGTGTATATATATATAGATACATTATACACATACATAAATACATGGACAGATAGGTGTATCGGTAGATCGATGGATGGATGGATGCATGGATGGATAGATAGCCAAGAAAGCCTTTCTTTTTTAATGGTGCCATCCTGTTGTCTGTTTTTCCACAATGTCCCTCTCACACATGCACATGCACAGGTATCGCTCATTACCAACATGCACGGGTGTATAGCTAGTGGAAATCAATGGACATCATATTGCCACCTGCAACAAGGACAATTTTTTTGCTTAGGTGCCGTCGCAGCTTTGCGAACTTGAGATCCTTGGGATGGATGTTTCCAGATTCCATGGAGGCTACAGGAACTTGTTCCTGAAATCACAAACGGTGGAGAGTCAACGATTCGTAGAGGACCCCTAGTGGAACACGTTTTGAACAAATGGTGTTTGTCATAGCCGATTGAGAACTCCAATGGGGTCAACCAACCTCTGTCAGGCCTTGGATGGTGCACAAGCCAACTACAAGAAGCTGAAGGACATCCCGGTTCCGTGGTTAGGTGCTGTGAGCTTGCGATGGCTGGGATGAACATCCTAAACTTTGGAATCCAAACTGTGGAGTTTTTCAGCGCCTTGGAATCCACATCTTCCAAGGAAAGCCATCAATTGGTTCATCAATGTTCATCAACTATCGATGGCCAGGGAGGAAACGTATGTTTTTCCAACTTTTAGAACACCCAAAGTAAAACAAGATGAACTCCAATGATGCCTCTCGCACCTTTGGGCACATGGGAGGATCGAAAGAAAGAAGCTGCAGTGGTACACTTGGCGACTGGGCAGAAGTGCAGACCCACAGACCTGGATTTCAGGCTTTCGGGAAGCCTCTGAAATCCCCCAACAGAAAAGGTGGCACATCATCATTTTTGAAGTTTTCTTTTAGGATCCAGGTTAGATGACCAGAGGGATTTACCATGATTTACCTGCAGAAAAATTCTGTTTCTGGTTTGGTTCGATGATCTCTGAGGCGGTGAAGGCTCAGCTCTTACAGGGTGATGCCGTGAATGCCCTGCGGGCTGCCAAGGAGGCCCAGCAGCTGGGATTTGGATGGATGAAAACTGGAAGAAAAATGATGAAATCAGAACTGATTGGTGGTTAATGGATGGTTAATGGATGGTATTTATATGGTATATATATGGTATATATGTTCTATAATATCTGATTCTGATTGGTGGTTAATGGATGGGTAATGGATGGTTAATGGATGGTATATATGTTCTATAATATCTGATTGGTGGTTTGGAACCATGGAATTTTATGACTTGCCATTCAGTTGGGAATTTCATCATCCCAACTGACTTACTCACTCCATCATTTTTCAGAGGGGTTGGCTCAACCACCAAGCAGTTTAAAGTTTCTAGCAGATCTGATTTTGGATCATCTGAATCATATGATGACCTCAAAGGAAATCAGAATTTCATCATTTTGGATGCACATTTCCAGACAAATCATGAGGATGTCATGGGGACATGGTTTTCTTTGAACAGGAGTTTAGATCCAGTCTGATGGGACATATATTGGAAAGAAAATTGTGTATGGACTCAAGTTGCTGGAATTTTGTCCCATGTTAAGTGGGGGTGGCAACGATGAAGGTTTGCGGTATCATCCTATTTAATTGACAAAGATTGGGAATATCAGCGTCACTGTTGTAGAACCTATTGAGGGATCTAATCTAACTACTATCAACAGTAATGGAATATACCCAGAAGCATATGGCCAACAATCAGAGGGTCGTAGTCTGCAATGACAGGGGTATAACCAAAGGCAATGTGGACATAGCCAGCCAAAAGGGTTTATTCACAACCAAGATGAAGATGGGTGGTCGGGTCAAAATGGTCGGACTGTCCCCGAAAAGCCATGGGTTTATCACCGCAATGCCTTGATGAAACTTTCATCATGAGGAATCCCATTTTCGAGCTAAGCCAAGCCAAGCCAATCATCCAAACCAACTTGAGCGACTCAGTTCCTCAGCACGGCCGGCGATGTTTTGCAGTTGCATCGATTGCAGGGGGGGCTCCCTTTTTTTTGGGAAAGGTTTGCTTAGATTGGAGAATGCAAAAAAGAACCCAATGCCATGGTATACTATAGCAAACCAATATAAACTACAAAATGGATTTATCAACTTATCAACATAGGATTTCTATATTATTTCTATTTATATTTCTATTTCTATTATATATACCTACACAAGTGTGTATAGTATCGAGAAGATGGGGACAGCCGGCATCCCCGGATTGCACCAGGCTCGTGGTCTGGCGCGTGAGTTGAGAGATCGCAAGGCTGAGGCTGAGGCGTGGCGACTGACACCAGGATAGCCAAAAAAAAGGGGCCTAACATGGCTGGTAGATGCTGGTCATTTGTGAATATGAGGCCTAGTTTTATGAATATGAGGCCTAATTTACTGGTGATGCCATGTTGGGCAGCCCTTTTTGCCCAGATTAAGACTGGAAGAGCCGAATCGAGGTACAGCTGTTGCCGTCAATTTGGGCTGCTTGATATACCGCATCCCAGCCAAAATGTTACATCCACCATGTTTCAAACTTAAGACTCCTGTGTACCTCAATCTCATCACATTTAATACCATGTAAAGCTTGGTTTTACGATCTATCCAACTATTATTATCATACACACACACACACTCTCTCTCTATATATATATACATATATATATATACATATATATATATACATATATATATATACATAATATATATATATACATACATATATATATATATACATAGTTGAAATATATCGACCCCTGAGCCCCACCATGTATAGCATGTGCAGGTAGGTCTAGTGTAGGCAGAATGTAGCTATGAGTACCAACATAATTCGATGTAGCTACGAGTTCCAATTAATCCAATTCGTTATCTCTAGCATGGCATACTGTACAGAGTATCCCAACATACCTAGAAGCGTTAGGTATGTTCAATAGCTAGAGTGGCACCACTTACCTTGTTCTATAGGTAGGTAGAGTAGCCGTAGTTAGAGATGGGTAACCTTTTAGTTTTCCCCTCCCTACAACGACCGGGTCGGGTTTAACTTGTTGCGCCATCGACGCTTGGCTCAAGTGCCTTTGCTAGAAAAGGTGCTTGGTCGTTTTTACAGGGTTATGGACGGATTAGGTCACCCTTGT